AGGGACATGAGACGAGTCCACAGGAGCTGATGCAGGCTGACAGGGAAGTTCTCCTGAAGTTGGGGAGGCTGGCCTTTGAACATCTGGAGAAAGGAAACATCCTGTTCTACCAAGAAGACCTGGAACTGTGCGGTCTGGATGTCACAGAGACCTTAGTGTACTCAGGTGTTTGTACAGAGATCTTCAAAAGAGAGTGTGTGATCTTCCAGAAACCGGTCTACTCCTTTGTTCATCTGAGCATTCAGGAGTTTCTGGCTACTGTCTACATGTTCCACTGTCACACTGAAAGGAAGACACAGGTGGTGGAGGACTTCCTGATAAATATTTTTCCTCATTTATTCAGTGATGATTATAATGATGATGACATGAAAAGCTCCTCTTTGGATGTGTTTCTCTGGAGAATCATGGAAAAATCCCTCCAAAGTAAAAATGGCCACCTTGACCTCTTTGTTCGTTTCCTTCATGGCCTCTCTCTGGAGTCCATCCAGACACTGCTACGAGGCCTCTTGGGTCAGACAGAGAACAAACCAGAAATCTCCCAGAGAGTCATCAAGAACCTCAAAAAAATGAATAGTTATGAAATCTCTCCTGACAGGAGCATAAACATTTTCCACTGTCTGATGGAGATGAATGACCTCTCAGTGCATCAGGAGATCCAAGAGTACCTGAAGTCAGAAAACAGATCAAAGCAGAAACTCTCTGAGATCCACTGCTCAGGCCTGGCCTACATGCTGGAGATGTCCGAAGGGGTTCTGGATGAGTTGGACCTTGGGAAATACAACACATCACCCGAGGGACAGCGGAGATTGATTCCAGCTGTGAGGAATTGCAGAAAGTTTCGGTGAGCCCAGATGTGATAATAATTGTGCTTATGCTTATCCTCCCAATGCTCTCTTTTAAAGCTTCCTTCCAGTTGGACATCACCTCACCTAGGAGGCATTCAACAGTCATTTTAATCAGATGCTGAACCACCTAAATTGGATTTTTAATGTGCAGGAGCAGCAGGTTATTTACAGTTGTCTCAAGGCACTTTACATTTTAAGGTCAAGACACTAAAATAATACAGAGAAAGCCCTAACTAGCAGACGACCCCCTATGAGCAAGGATTTGGCAACATTAGGAAGGAAAAACACCCTTGGAACAGGAAAAAAAACTCTTGTAGAACCAGATTCAGGATTTATCATGAATGTTTTTAGATATTAAAAGTCCACATCCACATATTTAATTGTTATCATATTTAATCAGGTTCAGATCTGATACTGTCAAATGTTTGGTTTAATTTCTTTACTGCTTGACAGCAGGCAAAGAGATCATCTTTCCAAGTGGAACTGATGAACCACTGATATGAATAACAAAATGCCAAACAGCAAGACTCCAACTCAAATGTACAAAATTAATATAAAATGTCCTATTTATAATAATGTTTTCTAATATTTTTGCCATTACAGACTTTCTAACTGTTGGCTCTCAACAACTCACTATGAAATTGTGGCCTCAGCTCTGAAGTCCAGCCCTTCCTATCTGACAGAGCTGGATCTGAGTGGAAACCACCTGAAGGATTCAGCATTGAAGCAGCTATGTGCTGCTCTGGAGAGTTCAAACTGTAGACTGCAGACTCTAAGGTTATTTCAATGGGATTGCTTTTATTTCTGGAGATATCTCAGTTGTTTGACTTGTGAATTAAATTAATCTCCTTACAAAGGAGTCTATTGCTGTCCAATATAGGTCATCAATGGTCATGGAAATGAAATAATAAGCAGCTATTTGAATTATTAATGACTTTATCTGTTTTTTTCCTTTATTCATATTGAAAAACTGCAGGTTGTCAGAGATCAGCTGTGCTGCTCTAGTCTCTGCTTTGAAGTCCAACCCCTCTCACTTGAAACATCTAGACCTGAGTGACAACAATCTGCAAGATTC